CTGCTTAATACAATTCAGGGACAGGCCCCGGCATCGACTATTCGAATCGACTTCCAACGGTTCGGCGCAGGCGCAGCAGTTGTGTGGAATTCAGGACAGACATCTATACGGCAGCCTGAGCCATAAAGTGGACGAAAGTTGAAACGTTGCTTCATGGCTATTCACTTCCTACTCTGTGCGGCCGGAGATGTGGTCGGCTGTCCGTCGGCGTCCCAAGATAATGCTCACTGTGTATGCGTCCGTCGCATCGGATTCTTATTGCATGCAGTGGAGAGCGCGAAGTGCCGTGCCGTTGCGTTGGTTGTTAGGGAAGTGTTAAACGTGATTCTTCTCCCCACTTTAGTTGACAAGAATGAGTTGAAGTATATTTAATGGTGGTGTGTGGAAGCGTTCCACTGCAAGCTGACGAGTGGAAGCAACGCACAAATTATTTAAGGGCATCAGAAACTGCAACTGTCAAAATACTTTAATTCATAGTCCGTCAATGTAGCGTTCCTCTACTTCAGTCCCTAGCAGTCCCAGGGACGGACGCACAAGGGGTGGGGGCTGGTATTGGAAAGCGATGCCCTGTCGTTAGTTCCAGTGCGCAGTGCTGCAACTCCTGTTGCAAAGCAGCCCCNGTATTGGAAAGCGATGCCCTGTCGTTAGTTCCAGTGCGCAGTGCTGCAACTCCTGTTGCAAAGCAGCCCCAGCAGCGCGCACGGCTGATACCCCCTTAGGCACACCCAATAACACTGTAGGAAGTTGCAAAACGCTTCCTTAGCCCTCAGGAACCAGTCTGTATGCAAGCAAAAGTACATATACAGACTGGAGACAAAGCAATGCTCGTGAATTCTAATGCCTGCCGCCTCCATGCACCGTACGAGACAGCAGCGGCTGCTTAGCAACTCGTACTGAAAACGCTAAACACATTCAGGCCTTGAGAATGCTTCAAGGCTACTGCAGGATGGGTGGCCTTGAACAGTAACAGTCCCTTGGCAGAAGCTCCACAAATGCCGTAGAACAAGAAAACAGCACAATTGTCTATCTGAGCAGTAGCTACAGATACGCGATAGCTACTACATTGCTGTTAACAATGAACCGGAGAGGCAAATCTACCACCGTTAAACGCATCTGCAACAGGTGCTCCTTTTTCCTGCAAGGCGATTGGAGCTGCCTCCCAGCATGGACTAGCATGGGAACTAGATCGATCAGAGCCAACCATGCAAATGTATTTAATTCCGAGGCACTGCTAGGCACTGGTTGATGAACCAGAATGACTGCCACATTGTGCTTTCCTGGACACTCCCGCGACAACAAACCGGATACAGCCTGCATGTAAACACCCTGTCGAAAGAAGAATGAAATCCGATGGCTCTATCTGAAGGGGCACCAGCTGCTAAGAACATCGACATGCCGACAAGCCAAATAAAAAGCAGCATAGCATTGATGCACAGTTTTGGTCATCGTTGGTAGTCTTCTGTCCGGAGAATCTAGCGCATTCAGGCAAGCTTGAGCCTGATGCATACACAAAGGCAAATCAGTAATTGGACACGGGACGAATTAGAGGTATTACAATGTGCCTTATTATCGTTGACCCTGTTTTTCAGAACCGGGCGGACGTTCTATATCACCGCTAGAAGACGAGAAATCCTCGTCATCTTGTAACCAGAGCTTCCACAGAGAGTTCGACAGTTGGCTATTTCTGTATGCCTGGGTAATAATTTCCCTCTTCAGCTGAATTATATCGCTAAGTGGTGGGCGTCTTCCTTCCTTATATATTGACAGGGCAGAACTCAGTCGATTGACAAGCTTCGTCAGGGCTACTGTCCTTTCCTTCGTTGTATTCACGGTTAAAGAATACTCTGTCTGGAACTTCTCCGCAAACTCGCGCCACCATCTGCCTGTATTCATTTTCTCCCCAAGGATCTCAATTGTGCAAACCAAGTAGTCAAACATCATGAACAGAGAGGACAGCTTCATAAAAACGTTGCCAGCCTTGCATATGCTACACGGCACTGCGAGCTTTTGCGCTGCATAGCTTGCCAATAGTTCGGCTTCCGCCATGAGTTTTTCCACGTCTTCTGTCGTCAGAGAAGCCTTGGCAAAAAGGCTTCGCATAGTCATGTATGATTCCATCGGACTGTTAATACTTAAATCGAATGACAATGCAAACTCGTCACGGA